ATATGGTTGACTATGTACTATCTGGGATAGGGTGATGAGGGGGGTAGTGTATAAGCTTTTACAAATAAGGGACTTTAATCAGCCTATTGGGGGTGGGGAATAGTTCCCTTTTTCAGAATAAGCAAGCACATTCAAAAACATAGCAGCCTGACTTTAAAAGATGTCTAGATATAAGTTTTTTTTTTTTTTTTTTTTTGTTACTGAGAATTAAACCCAGGGGTGCTGAGCTAAATCCCCAGGCCATTTAAAATTTATTTTAATTATTATTATTTTTGTACTGGGTACTTGGGATTGAACCCAGGGGCATTTAACCACTGAGCCACATTCCCAGCCTTTTTTCTTTCTTTCTTTTTTTTTTTTAAGGCTGGCCTCACTCTTGTGATCCTCTTGTCTTACTTAGCCTACCAACCCATTAAAATTACATGTGTGTGCCACTGTGCCTGCCCAAATATATTAAACTCCCATCTTGGTATTGTTTGGTTGGCTGTGGTCATGGAAGGAATTTCTCATTGTAGTGCCAATCATAAACTGGCAACTCTGTTCTGGTAGGTTCCCTGAGCATAATAGGGGAGGGGGAGAGGACCAATCCAAAGCACTAGCCCCCCTAGGCATTCAGTTCTTCTTTACTCCCTGAATCAAATCATCTGTGGAGTTAACTCCTAAACTAGCTAAAAGGTTGTAATCTAATGTGATCAGCAAGACAATTTTCTTGGGGGAAAAGAAGTACTATTAAAAACATTGCAGGAGTGGTATGGAATCTAAAATAGCTATATGCTCTTTATTCTCTTAAGTTCTTGAGAAGTGTAGTTTTATAGGTATGCTTTACATAGTTGTAATCAGCATATATACCTGTCTTATTCTGCTGTTTTAGCATCAGAGGTCTATTTTAGTTGCTGGAAGTGGCCAACTAGCTTGAATGTGGGACCACATGGGATTCTTGAGTTATCAGCATACAGCACAGTCTGAGTGCTTTGTTAACATTACTCTGCCCACCACCCCACAGCAAGAGCCTTGCAGGCCCCTTTGACCTGAGCTGGGTACTTCCTGGGCACAGGAAGAAGTACAAGGACCTCTGACTCCCCTTACCCTGAGCTGATATTATCCATGTGCCCATGATAGAAAATATCTGCAGCTCTCTTCCTTGTCTGGGACAACAATGCCACTTTTATCTTCCACAGAGCTTGAAGTGAGTGAATAGGCAAGGGGAGTGGGGAGGATGGATGCTTACAGCTGAAGGAATAAGGTGCAGAGCAGGGATGCCATAGTTCTTCTAGATGCATCTGTGAAAATGAAGTGGGATGAGGGGATGATTGATTTCAAGTTCTGGAAAGTTGGTTAGCAGCTCTCATTCTCTACCTTCCTTCCTGTTAGAAATACAAGTTTTATGAGCCCAATAAAGGGCTTGTAAGTATGAGTAACAAAATAGGGAGTCCAGGTTTGAGCCCTAACCTAGCCATGGCCAGTGACCCCTTGTGGTTAAGAACACCAGTTGAGAGGATTCTCCTGAGAAGATTGATGTTATATTTGGTGCATTCAAAAATTGTCTCGCTAGTAGCAACTGCCTTTCGGATGAATGCTTCAGAGAGGTTGCTGGGAGGGAAGAATCACATCCAAAGCACAGGTGATATGGTTCAAGCACCCAAAGTTCTTGGGTATTTATAGCTAGGTTAGCTATAGCTGGTTTCCATGCTCCAACCCTAAATAATCAGTTTCTTTTTATTTTCATTTTTGTGATGCTGGGATTTGAACCCAGGGCCTTGTGCATGCAAGGTCACTATTCTTTCTTAATTTCTTTTGTGTGCTGACTATATGATCCATGCTTTGCAGTTTGTAGAATGCTTAGCAGCCCTGCCAACAGGTATTACTGGTAGATAGAATCAATACGTGAATGAATGGAGATCGGAGTTCAGGAGTTGAAAACCACTCAGACAGAAGGAGCCCTGTACCGATTCACAATGAATTTTCTAGTAAGAAAGCCCAGATCTGTTGTTTTTATTGTTATTGTTTTTGATACGGGGGATTGAACCCAGGGTGCTTAACCACTAAGCCCCATCCCCAGCCCTCTTTTTGTGTTTTGAGACAGGGTCTCACTAAGTTGCTTAGGGCTTTTCCAAGTTGCTGAGGTTGGTCTTGAACTTGTAATCTTCCTGCCTCAGGCTCCTGAGTCTGGAATTACAGGTTCAAGCCAGTGTGCCCAGCCCAGGTCTGTTTTTAAAAACAATATGCACAAGTACTTGGACCTATGTGGGGTTTATTGAAAACAGATGGGTCAGGGCCATGTGCTCCTCTGACAGGAGCTAGGCCCTGAAATCCTGGAAGAAGACATTGACAACTGAAGAAGAGAAAACCCCAAGGCAACCATCTTTTCCTTTTAAGAAAATTCGCCCTCCTTGCTCAAGAAACTATCCTTATCTTGGTCCTAGGCTGCTGCAGATACACAGATTTGTAAAACATCTTGGGCAGTTAGGATTCTCAAAGAGGGGAAAATGGAAGGTGGTGGTTATAATTACCCTATATTTTCTCTTCTTTGTCTTTTAATTATATTCACAAAATAAATATAAGACATCCCTCTTTGGGTTGTTCTCTACAGAAAAGGGGATACATTTTGAATTAAAACTTTGTGTTACTGGCCTTGAACCCAGGACCTTGCACATACTAGTCAAGCATTCTATCACTGAGCCACAACCCCAGTGGGCTGCCCCCCCTTTTTAAAATTCTGATACAGGGTCTCAATAAGTTGCTGAGGCTGGTCTCCAACTTGTGATCCTCCTGCCTCAGCCTCCCCAGTAGCTGGAATTACAGACATTTGATACCATGTCTGTACAATACCATGGTTCTTAAGAAAATTGGATCATCCACATTTCTCCTTAGGCCATGTGTGCTTCTGAGGCAGGCATACTTTCTCAGTCAACAAAGGAGGGGAAGTGGGCAAGAAAAGGGGATGGGTGTGTTCCCTATGAATACGGGCAGTGTAGAGAATTTAGGTTGAAGACCTCTAACAAAACTGAATTTCATCATATTGGTGCACTTCCCTTTATGCGATATATGTATGCCTAGGTATCAACCAAAATTTCCTACACACAATCTATAGTCTTAAAAAGTTACTTAAAAGAATAATCTCTATACAACCAGTACATGTTGATTCAAAATAAGAAAACTTTTTGAATGAATCTGAATTTTGCTGCTATAGGCTATTACTGTACTTTCCAAATCCCAGGCAGAAATAATGGCAACTCCTTCAGAGGCCTGTTTTCAAGTTTAAGGGGAGAGTGTGGGGATATAGCTCAGATGGTAGAGTGCTTGCTTCACACGCTCAAGGCCCTGGGTTCAATCCCCAGCACCACCCCCCCCCCAAAAAAAAAAAGTTTAAAGGAGACAGTTCATATAAAAATGTCTAGATAGCCTCTGGCACATCTTAGTAACTTGGTAAATATTAGCTACCAACACTATCATTTAGTGGAAGATCTTGGTCAGATCATTAGAAAGCTGTTTTTACTTTTAAAAGTAATTTAAAAGCTTTAATCCAGGCATGTGGTTTTGTTTTTGTTTTGGCAGTGCTGGAGATGGAACCCAGGACTTTGCACATGCCACACCATTGAGCTACATCTCCAGTCCCAGAATTATTCTTCAGTAGAAGTGTTTGCTTCCCTTGGTGAGAATGTTTATCAGCAGAATTCTCCAGTGACATTTATCAGGAAAACTAGAGAAAGTAGGTAGGTAGGCTTCTCAGCCTAAGACTCATGGATATAGTATTTTGGGACAGGATGGGGGGATTTTTGAATAGCTTTGCCAGTGACCAACTATAATTTTGGGCATGTCACTTAACCTGTCTATACCCTAAGCGTTTCATCTGTATAACAATGGGATTGAACTAGAGATTCTAAAATGTTCCTCTCAGCCCCATGACTAATAAGCTGAGCACAAAGCCAATCAGAGACCCTTGGAGATAAGAGCAAATGATGCAGCATTAAACAGTGTCAGATCTTCCAAGTAAGGTTGTAAGATGGATCTTTCTGTGTCAGATTTCTGTCCCTCAAACAATTATGGATTAGTTGGTTTTTATTGCTTTGTAAAATGGTATAGAGTAGAGCTAAGACTGTGTTATAGAGTCAGACCTTGGTTTGAAAATCAATTCTGGTGTCTCCTAGTGGGTGCCATGGGTAATTATCTAAACTTTCTTAACATCAGTTTCTACCTCTGTAAGGTGATAATTATGTAACTTCATCTGCTTATGAGGATGAAAGACAATAATATATGTAAAGCACTTAGCCCTGGAAAAATGGAAGTGCTCAATCAACCATGTCTGCTATTGCTGCTCTTATTGGTATTAACATAATTTTTCTGACATGGGCATAGATATACTTCAGCATTTTTTCTTGGTTATAGCTTTCTTTTTCCCCCCAGTACTGGGGATCAAACCCAGAGCCTCAAACACATGCTAGGCAGAGTTCTCTACTCCAGAGCTACATCCCCAGCTCTATAGATTTCTCTCTTTGAAGGGAGGTTAAGAAAGGCATAAGTAAATCTTTCTGACCTGAAGTTGCTCTAAAGTCAGACAGGTCTGGATTCAATTCCTCGCTCTACTTTTTACAGTTTCCTCATCTGTAAAATGCAATCAAGTGTAATGCCTACCTCCAAAGATAATCAATAAGATAATCAATGTGAAGTGCTTAGCACTTAGTGCTTTAGGTACCTCTGACGGGGTGTGGGGGGGGTTAGGCCCTAAAAGTCCTGGAAGAAGACCACCCTCTGTCCCAGCCTCACACTTTCTCCTATTCTCTCCCCTCTGTCCTTCATTTAAGGAGTACTAATACAGGAACCAAGGGCTTTTCCCAGATATCCACACTTAGTGTAGTGTGTATTCACACTTAAGTGTAGTGTGACTGACATCGAGAAGGTACTCAATAAATGGTGGCTATGGTACTCATAATGAAAGTAATGATAGAAATAATAGTAAAAACTACTACCACACCACCCTTGGGATACAGGGTTGAATTTATTTAGTTGGTAGGAGAGGCATCAGTTGCTGTCCCTGAAGAGACAGCAAAGAAATGTTGGGCTTATCAGACAGTGGCTAGCACTTGAAAACCAAGTTGTTTTCTTGGAGGTGTGACTTAAAATGATTCAGTAGAGCATAATTCTCAACAAAAAGATTCTATTTATGTTGCCATCCCCTTGACGTGCAAGAACCTTAAAGGAAAAAATGTGATTCTAAAGTAATCCTGTACTTCTGACAATCTATTTCAGTTAGTCACCCACGACATCTTGCCTGAAGCTTCAGTAGGAGCATCTGGGTATGAAAGATGTAAAGTCTCTGTTCTTCTTTGCCAAGTTGGTGTTCCTTCTCAAATGGACACCCCCTAACTTCTTGAGCCTCTTAGTGGGTGTAGGATTAATTTGATGAGTATAATACAGACGTACAGGTATAATGGTGGTTCTCAAGGATGTGATGTCAGAGTAGGTGGACTTGTGCATGGTGGACTGATATTATCAAATAGAAGTTTAAAAAAACTTGAGTGTTCCTGCTGGTTCTGGTGATGAATCCGTTTGGTGAGGGAAGTATATTGAGATGTTTCTTTGGATTTCCCTCTGTTTTTCTCTTTTTTAATAGTCCTTTAAAAGCCTAATAAAAGAAAAGGTCAGTCACTGCAAGTAAAGCCAAGTGTCAGGTTTTCTTTCCTTCCCTGAACACTTAAGGGTAGGAGGGTGCAAGCCAGTTTCCAGGGGGGTGTTCACTGCAACCCATGAGGTACCCCCCTCTGCCTCAGCCTCATGCTTTCTCCTACTCTCTCCCCTCTGCCCTTCATTTAAGAAGTACTAACACAGGAACCAAGGGTTTTTCCCCAGGAATTTTTTTGTAACATCTCCCAGGTATCCATTTTCTTTTTTACAGTAGGTTCTGAGGTTATAGAAATGAAAAGGGATTTCAATATTGGACAAAGATTTAGGGATAGTTGCTGATAATCTAGAAAGATATCCCTTCTCTTTTTTAGATTCTTTCTACTTTTAAAAATATTTATTTATTTTACTTATACACCTTTGTTTTTAATTATTTACTTTTACTTGGTCCTGAGGATTGAATCCAGGGCCTTGAAGGCGCTAGGTGAGTGCTCTACTGCTGAGCCACAACCCCAGCCCTAGATTCCTTCTACTTAATTCTCATCCTTTCCCCTTTATCCGTGTCTTTGGCTTATTGGCTCTGGCTAAGTCCAGGTCCCTGGACTTCTGGGTATCCTGAAGGGCTAGATTCCTTTCAGAACTGAGGTGACATTGTAAGATTGACAGTTGACAGTTTTGAAGACTAGTCCCAAGGAAAAATAAGGAGTGGCCATTAATAACAGTAAGCCTTTAAGCCCTTACAGCTTTTTGTTTTTCAAATGTCTTTATTGTATTGGGAGGGATTATATCTGCTTATAAAAAAGAAAATTTTGAATAAAACGCAAATCCAAAGACTTGTTAATGTCACCCAGTACCTTATCCCTAGAGAAAAATCACTGCTCATTTTTGGTGTTACCTACCTCTCTCTGTCTCTGTCTCTGTCTCTGTCTCTCTCTCTCTCTCTACACACACACACACACACACACACACACACACACACACACGTCATACTATGTATTCTAATCTATTCAATATTCTATTCAATATAAATAATGCTGTTTTCCCAAAATGTCAGGTTGTGGAAAACTTTCCATGTCACATTTTTAATAGCATTTAATTATGTGGAGGTATCCTAATTTATTTAGCAATTTCCCATTGTTGGACACGTAGTTTATTTCCAACCTTTAGCTGTTGTACACAATGCTGTCATTTAACATCCTTGAGCATACTTTCTTTTTGGTGGGGGGCACTTACGTAATTATCTTTGGATGTAGCTGAAGAAATGAGACTATTGGGATCAAAGGGCTTCTACATTTTTTTTTTTGTGGGAGGTACTGGGGATTGAACTTGGGGGCACTCGACCACTGAGCCACATCCCCAGGTCTATTTTGTATTTTATTTAGAGACGGGGTCTCACTGAGTTGTTTAATGCCTTGCTAAATTGCTGAAGCTGGCTTTGAACTCGAGATCCTCCTGCCTTAGCTTCCAGAACTCCTGGGGTTATAGGTGTGCACCATGGCACCAGGCTAGGCTTCCACATTTTAAAAATTCCTTGGTATATATATTGAGGGAAGATGGGAAATGGTCAAACTATCCTCCATAAAGATTTTACCAATTATATTTCCACCATTGAGAGTCAACCTTTAAGATATCCCTATGGCCATCCAAAGATCATATGTCAAACAATGCTAGGGTATCATACTGGGCTTTTAGGTGGTGATCCCCAAGCATTCTCCCTATACTTAGTCTAGTCATCAACCATGGTGTGAGAAAAGGATTTCAGCCTCAAAATAGGAGTAATATTGTTGAAATTGTGAGGGAAAGGGAAGCCCTTTTCTTTAGTCACTGGTTCAATATTACCTTCAAAAAGATCCTCACCAACATATGGAGCTGGAGTCTGTAAGTTATTGCTTCGGTTGTAGTGAGGCTCAGTAATGTTCTGTGCTCCATTTCCCCCAGAACATTCACCTTCCTCCATGGGTTCATCTAAAGCAAATGTCACTGATATATTCTTTTTAGGCCTTAATCTTAGGCCATCTTTCTGTACAGCAAGAACATGGGGGGAAAAGTCAGTTGGTGCTCAAAGAATTCAAGAATTGTCCCTGGGTAGTAACAAAGAGCCATTTACCTGTAGAATTGGTTTTAGAGGCCTAGCTTCCATGGAGCGTTGTCCAAAATGCTGTCTTTTCTCGAAATTCTGTCTTTTTTCTTTGGACATTACTATTCTGGTAGAGAAGCTGAGGAAATTTGAAAGAACAAAGCAGTAGTAGAAACAGACACACAAACATCTAATGTAGCTACTACCCCATTTCTCCCATATGCCTTTGGGCAATGAAAGTGACAACAGAGCAAGAGGACATTTAGGCCTTTTATTCCTGAAAATCTTGATCATCACCTTTTTCTTTTTGTTTTCTCTTTTTAATATCTCTATGCTGTCTTCTTACTCCTCATTAGGAGGATCAGATAACTGAAAGCAGAAATGTGGAATAGCTCCATGACATACATTCATTGAATAATACCACTAGACTCCTTAACTGATGCTCATGTTCCTTTTCTCCTCCACATGGCAAGCCAGAGAACAGAACAAGCCCTGTTTTGGAAAAGCTGTAATGCGGATATATGGACTTTACCTTTATGCAACTTTTCCCTCTGGCGTGACCACTCAAGTTGTGCCAGGGGTGGTGTGTACCCGACTTTTTGGAGTGTTGGTGGGCACTGCCCTAGCCCCACTTGGCCCATGTGATCTTGAGAGACTTGCTTAGTACTTCCCATAACCTATCTCTCAGAACTCCCTGCTCATGTTGAAGATTGACTCCTGCTTCTATCAGTAAATCTAGTGGAATAAATCTAATGGAGGCAGTTCATTACCTATCTGATGAGCATCTTTCTCCAGAGCCTCTGGTACTCTTGGAGGTTGGAAAGCTCAAAGTGGGTGGTTGTTGGCTAATATACAGCTCTTCATATTTATCTCCAATGGCAGCTAGTAGCCAGCGCAGCCCTTCAATTATGGGATGATGGTTCCTCCTTTGGAGGTTTTTGATGGCTGAACATGGCTCCTGTGACAAAAAAAGAAGAGAAGGTCTGAGACTTGGAGCCTGGGACCCCTGGGGCCTTCAAACCAATCACTCATCTAAATAGCAGAGGTACATATAAGCTGTGCTGTGTCTGGAGAGACTCTAGACTCCCTATGAGACACTCAGCATTCACATTTGAAAAAGTAAATGGAAGACACAAAAGCTGAAGTCCTTTAACAAAGTGGTTGGGATATCTTGGATGTGTGACTTGGAGCGAGTCACTTCCGATCTTTGTTTAAGCCTTAGCATTTTTTTGATTTGTTTTTTGGTACTAGGGATTGAACCCAGGGTACTTAACCACTGAGCCACATCCCCAGCCTTTTTTCTATATTTTTATTTAGTGACAGGGTCTCACTGAGTTGCTTAGGGCCTCACTAAGTTGCCAAGGTTGACTGTGAATTCTTGATCTTCCTGTCTCAACCTCTCGAGCCGCTGGGAACACAGGTGTGTGCCACCACGCCTGGCAGCCTTAGTTTTCTTATCTATAAAATGGGGATATTAAACTTTCAACTGTTTTGAAGGTAAAATGCAATATTTGTTACCACTATCAAATTAGAAATTATCACTGTAGATGTTGCCTGTCAGGGAGTGGCTTTGCCCCAAATCCAACATATGAGGCTGATTATGAAATGGCCTAGACTTTATCAGACAGATTATAGAGGAAGAGGGAAGGAAGAGGTTAACACTTACCACTCTGCACTTGGACTTATTCTCATTCACTAGCCTTTCCAGAAGTAGGTATTCGATAATATCACAAGGCAAGAGGGCATCCTTTTTGTCTTGTTTGTTAGCCAGGCTAGAATAGAACATATAGAGGGAGGAAAGAAGAAAGAAAGAGTGAAACCAAAATAGAGGCAAACAGTAAGAGGAGAACTAATCTTGTATAACTATTACATATCCAGGAATTGGGTTTAAAGACATCTAATGAGACAGAAAATTTTCTAGCCAGCTCTCAGTGGAGGAAATAATGCTACAAATAATTTGAATCCAAAGTAATCCACAGGGCTCATTTCTCATTTCTCCTACTTCATGCCATCAAACTTTTAACTACAGTTGCTAACTGGGATATGAATGGACTTAGCATTTTTACATCTTCATTCAAACTCTATTCATGTTCTATTTGGGCTTGCTAATGAGGAATGAAAAAGGAGTTGTTAGGGGTGAAGATTGACTGGTCACCTAAATTATCACCCTGAAAAAAGTGCCAGTTATATAACTCTTGAGCAAGTTGATAGGGGAGCTAGTTATTAGTGGTTGTTTTCTTGTACCATGAGGTTTCAGGATCAGAGAATGAAACCAGAAAATATGAGAAGCAAAGTTGGAAAGAGTTGAGGAAGAGTCCAGGTTTGGGGATATGTTGAGAGCCACAGCCGAAGGGGCCCCAGCAAACTTCCAGCTGCCAGCAATCCAGCTGCCGGCTGATGATTGGCTCACAGCGGCCCCAGCAACATCTAGCTGATTGGCTCCTCGGCCCCAGCAACATCTAGCTGATTGGCTCCTCTGCGGTGATGCTCATTGGACTGTTTCCCTGCCCTTTCAGACCAAAGGACCTCTTCCCAAAGGAACAGTAGGCTTATTATTGGGACGCAGCTCTTCTACTCTAAAAGGACTTATGATAAGTCCTGGGGTAATTGATCCCGATTATGAAGGTGAAATAAAAATTATAGCCAGTTCTCCAAAGGGTATATCAGTAATTTCACCAGGAGATAGAATAGCACAGTTACTAATAATACCCAGCCTACATGATAAATTTTCCAGTCGTACTGTAGAAAGAGGTTCCAAGGGATTAGGTTCCACAGGTGTAGATTGGGCTATGCTTTCTTTAAATTTAGATTCTCGCCCCATGCTAAAACTAAATATTCAAGGACATGAATTTAATGGGCTACTGGATACAGGTGCAGACCTTAGCATCATCTCTCGTCAAGAATGGCCAAAACATTGGCCATTACAACAAGCCACTCAAACGCTTCGAGGCCTAGGAGTGGCGACTAATCCCCATAGAAGTGCAATGGTATTAGATTGGAAGGATCCTGAAGGATGTGAAGGAACTATACAGCCATATGTATTGGATCATCTTCCCGTAAATTTATGGGGACGAGATGTCCTAGATCAATTAGGTTTGACATTAACAAATAACATCAACCAAAATGCACCCACTATTATGACTAGACAAGGTTTTAGGAAAGGAAAAAGATTAGAAAAACAAGAACAAGGTATAGCAGCACCAATACAAATAGATCAAGGAACAGACAGACATGGGTTGGATTTTCAGAAAGGGCCACTGAGACAATAAAAATTACTTGGAAATCAGAAAGACCAGTATGGGTTCCTCAGTGGCCCCTGACTAAAGAAAAGATACAAGCAGCCCATGACCTGGTCAAACAACAATTAGCAGAAGGACATATACAACCTTCTGTATCTCCCCATAATACTCCCATTTTTGTCATCAAAAAGAAATCTGGTAAATGGAGATTATTGCAAGATTTAAGAGCCATTAATAATGAGATGGTTATTATGGGACCTGCTCAATCAGGGATTCCTCAGTTGTCTGCTTTGCCAAAAACCTGGTATGTTTTAGTTATAGATATTAAAGATTGTTTTTTTTTTCAATTCCAATTCATCCTGAGGATAGTCCACGTTTTGCATTTACTATCCCTGCACTGAATCATGAAGGTCCTGATCAGAGATATGAATGGAAAGTACTCCCTCAAGGGATGGCTAACAGCCCAACTATGTGTCAAATTTATGTTAACAAAGCAATCCAGCCACTTAGAAATCAAAATCCTGAACTACAAATATTTCACTATATGGATGATGTATTATTAGCACACAAAGATAAAAACACATTGCTAGAATGTTATGCCTCACTTACAAACTTATTAAAAAATTATAATCTAGAGATAGCAATACATAAAGTACAATTAAATTTTCCAATTAATTATTTAGGAGTTCTATTATCCTCAACCATGGTCCGTCCACCAAAAATTCAAATACGAGTAGATCAACTCAAATCACTTAATGACTTTCAAAAGTTATTAGGAGACATAAATTGGATAAGGCCTTATTTAGGTATACCAACAGGAGAGTTGGGACCTTTATTTGATATCCTAAAAGGTCCATCAGATCCAAATTCACCCCGAATGTTAACGCCTGAAGCAAGAAAGGCATTAAAAATCATTGAAACATATATGGAAAATATGCATTTGGATAGAATTGATATAAGTTTACCTTTATTATTTATTGTACTACCAACAAAAAATATTCCTACAGGAGTATTTTGGCAAGAAGGTCCATTATTATGGATACATTTATCTTATTCTCCTAACACTATTCTTACTAGGTATCCTGAGGCTGTAGGACAATTAATACTTAAAGGAATAAAAGCAGCAAAGGGAGTGTTTGGAATTTCTCCCAATAAAATTATTACTCCATATACTATGAATCAAATTGATGAGTTAGCTAATGAGTTAAATACTTGGGCAATAATCATGTGCAAATCTAATGTTTCATTTGATAACCACTTACCATCTAATCCTTTATTGTCTTTTTGGTCATTGCATCCTGTAATTTTTCCAAAAATGACAAGAAAAACACCTATCATGAATGCTCCAAATATATTCACTGATGGGTCAAATAATGGTACAGCAGCAGTAGTTACCCCTGATCAAACTTTTACATTTTTAGTACCCAAACAATCAGCTCAAAAGGTAGAGCTTAATGCAGTTTTACAAGCTTTTGTGATGTTTAAAGATTCTGTATTTAATTTATTTTCTGATAGTCAGTATGTAGTTAATGCTATAGTATCTCTTGAAGATGCTGGTAGGATTTCCCCTTCTTCTACTGTTTTCTCTTTGCTTTCCACTATACAAAGTCTAATCTGGGACAGAAAAGATCCATTCTTTATAGGACATATCAGGGCACATACAGGATTGCCTGGAGCCCTTAGTTTGGGCAATGATTTAGCAGATAAAACTACACATGACATACATATTTTCTCTACACTAGAAGAAGCTATAAATTTTCATAAAAAGTTCCATGTCAATGCTAATACTTTACAAAAGCGTTTTAAAATAACTAAGGAACAAGCTAGACAAATAATAAAACAATGTCAAAATTGTGTGACCTTTTTACCACAAGTTAATCTTGGAGTCAATCCTAGAGGATTGATACCTAACCATATTTGGCAGATGGACGTCACACACTTGCCAGAATTTGGAAAATTAAAATATTTGCATGTTACAGTTGATACTTCTTCTGGATTTTTGATGGGCTCCCTTCATGCCGGAGAAAAAACTAAAGATGTTATAGCTCACTGCTTACAAAATTTTGCCACTGTGGGTGTTCCAAAACAGTTAAAAACAGATAATGCCCCTGGTTATACTTCTACCTCTTTTAAACAATTTTGCTCAACATTTGGCATTACTCATATAACAGGAATCCCATACAATCCACAGGGACAAGGCATAGTTGAAAGAGCTCATCAAACTATTAAAATGTACTTATTAAAGCAAAAAGAAGGAATTGGGAAGGGGTATATATTCCCCAAAGATAAACTTAAAATAACCCTTTTTACTCTAAACTTTTTAAATTTGGATTCATCAGGACTTAGTGCTGCGGAAAGGCATATGTGTCCAAAAAATGTACATAAGCCCAAGGTACTTTGGAAGGATATTCTAACAGGACAATGGAAAGGTCCTGACCCAGTGATTGTCTGGAGTCGGGGGTCTGTTTATGTGTTTCCACAGGGAGAACAGCAGCCGATTTGGATTCCAGAAAGATTAACTAAAGCGATTTCTACAGACCAAAAAGAAGATGATTTGGCTCAAATCCATAACAACTGATATCCAAAACTCCAGTTTGGCTATTCTTACATCTGCAACAGAACCAGGATGCTTTTTTCAATATCTATTTTATTATTGCCCTTTGCCATATCATGAAGTTCTATTTTGTTTTTTGAGCTCATACAGACCTAGGTTAATGTTTTGCTGATCAGTTCTATTTTTTGACTATAGAGTTTTTAAACATTGCAATGGAGATTTCACCTGTAAAAAGTTATAAGGCCTTTACTATAATGTTATGTGTTGTATGTATTATGTTATGTGTGCACACTTGTGTTTTGTGTTATATGTTTGAATGTCCATATATCATATATGATGAGCGCTCATGATAAAATGGATCCAAATATTTTTTTTTCACGTGATTTATATGGTTTAATTTATATTGGGAAAACAACTGTTGAGGATTGTTTTAATATGTAAACAAAAAAGAAGGTTAACAGATCTGTTTGTTTACTTTCACCTTTCCTTTTCATTATATTTAATAATTCTCTTAAAGATAATGTAAATTGTTAAGAAAATTGTTTTCTTTTAGTGCCTTCTGTAATGTTACATAATTTTTTCTTTAGCCATTATTGCCAGAATTCCTGTCTTCATCCCAGTGCTGGTGAAGTCAAAGATAAAACCAATCTACACCTTCTACAATAGCCATCACTGAACTGCTTGCAGAACTTGCCTGGACACATTGTGAGCTCACCTGTATGCATTTTGAACTATCTGTTGGTGCAGCGACTTGTGGTAGTGTTGGGGTATTTTTGCTGATGATGTCACCGGTGGTACAATTTTTCAAAGGAGCCCTCAATTGGCTTAATGTCATGGCATTTTGCATCCTCCTCTATCTAAAATTTGGGGGCCAACAGAGGTGAGGCAAAGAACCTCACCCCCCCACTGGTGCAAAGGCCTATCCACAAGTATAGCTGTATGCTGGACCGGTAGTCAGTGACGGGTATGATCCAATTGCAGTGGTACCAACCTAAGACAGGAGGCTGACGCCTAGAGGTCAGTTCATCCGATGACGGGTAAGGACCATATGTTGAATTGGACTGCCTAACAGGCACGGTCCCTAAGCCACATGCTTGTTGTTTAAACAGAGAGGGGGAGATGTTGAGAGCCACAGCCGAAGGGGCCCCAGCAAACTTCCAGCTGCCAGCAATCCAGCTGCCGGCTGATGATTGGCTCACAGCGGCCCCAGCAACATCTAGCTGATTGGCTCCTCGGCCCCAGCAACATCTAGCTGATTGGCTCCTCTGCGGTGATGCTCATTGGACTGTTTCCCTGCCCTTTCAGACCACGGAGCTGCTCATTGGGGGACTTTTTGGCTCTGCCCACGTGACCCAGCCAATCGGCCTCAAGAGCAGGAGGTTTGTGGGAGGTGGAGAAGAAGCTTGGGGGGGGGAGAGACAGGCTTGTGGAAAGCCGGTGGTGGCAGTTGAGGCTCTGAGGATTTTTCCTGAGAGGCTGTTTGTTTGGCGTGTTTGGTTCTAAAAATAAAGTTAGTTTCTTTTGACAAGTGGCTCCTGATTGTGCCCAGCCAGACTGCGGCAGGGATAGGTGATCCAGATATCACTTCTATTTTTCTTTGATAAATATCTTCAGAATTACCTTTGCACAAACCAATAATGTATTCCATGTGGCAGTGTGTAGTAGAATGTGGCTCTTGAAAACAGAGGACTGGGCCACTCCACCTCACTGAGTCTAAGTGAAGATGAGATCTAGCAAGGTGTGACAAAGGGACTGCCCAGCCTTTTATCTCTAGACTTCTCTTAAGGTAAAAACTGGGAAAGAGAAATAGGGCATAAAAGCAGAATCTTACAGTAAGATGGGTTTCCCTGCCACTCTTTTGTCAGACATTAGACGTGTTAAGATGTTCTTTGCTTCCTGCATATGTTCTACATCACTGGAATCCACGACAAAAACAAGCCCTTGTGCTTGAGCATAGTAGTTTGGCCATTTTTCTTGGCCCTTCAGATCTCCATTTAGGTCATAGATGGCCACTTCATACTCATCTAGCAGGAGTGTAGTCAGTTCTGATTTCACATCATTGTTTATCCTGCTGGGAAGTACTGGATACAGGGGCAGAGGGGAGAAGCAACCACAAATCAGGGAAATATTAGGTCAGACAATTTGTTGAATTTTGACTAGATCCTACTCTGAAAAATGTTACTGAAAAATCCTGTCACCCTGCTCATTCTGGTGGATGCATCTTTTCAAACCATCACTTTGCCTGTGCCACCCCTTCCTGGCTTAGTAACCTGCAGTGAATAACCCTTTGCTCCCAGGATAGAATGCAGACATCTTTAGCTTCTAGCCTGCCAGGCCTGTCTCCTGCACTCTAATATGGTTGGTGGTCACAATGTCTCTGGCTCCCATCCAGTCTGTTCCTCTCTCTGCTCCTTTGCTCACACTTTCCCCACTTGACACACATGCCATGCTCTCTCTTTCCTTGGCCTTCACAGGATGACATTCCCTCAGCTTAGAATACTCTTCTACTACTATATGTTTGGATAATGCCTATGTTTTAAAAAAATCAATTAGATCTTGTTTGTTACAGAAAAATTTGCTTTACACCACCATCCCCAGTATGGATAATGTGCCTTTCATCACATATATCACAGTATTATTAATTTGATGGTTTACTTATCAACTAAACTACAACAGGAAATGTAGCCCTTTTAATTTTGTTCGCTATTAGATTCATGATGCTCAGCACGACGGCTGGCACACAGGTACTCACTAAATATTTGTTGAAAGAATTTGATGAATGAATGAACCAACAGGAGGTCCTTCTCTCTGCCCCCCTTTCTTTAGGCCCAACTTAAGAGCCTTCTCTGGTCTGCTCACCTCTCAACTCTCTCAACACATTGTCTGGACTGGTCCTTCATCTATTTCTGTGCTTGCCTATTACCTGTTAAACTGTGGGTTACACCGTATGTATTCGCTTAAGTGTTTATGGTGGCTGTTTCTATGGATGAAGGTATGAAGTCTTGTCTCACATTATCTCTTCCAAGAAACCATGACAGACTTGGGCACATTTCCCTCTTTAAAAGCCATGTCCAGAACATAAAATCTCATACAGAACTCCATACTTCATTCAGCATCCATAGAAATTCAGTTTAAAACAACAGCCCTAGCCAGGTGTGGTGGCTCACGCCTGCAATCCCAGCTGCTTGGGAGGCTGAGATAGAAGATCTTGAGTTCAAAGCCAGGCACAGCAATTTAGCAAGGCCCTAAGCAACTCAGTGAAATCCTGTCTCTAAATAAAATACAAAATAGGCATGGGGATGTGGCTCAGTGGTCAACTGCCCCTGAGTTCAGTACCCGGTATCAAAACAAAAAACAACCCAAACAGCCTTTATATGAATTTCAGTCTGCTGAACTGTTAGTTCTGGCCTAGCTCTCTGCTCATGTTAGTAGGAAAATGCTTTTATTGATTCTTGACACCCACACCTGGGAGTACTAAGACCAGAATCAATAACTTCTTATAGCCTCAGATCTGTCTGTGACATTCTCCACAGGATTGCCAAAATGAGTCATTAAGCTGAGTAGTTAGTAATATGCTTTTAGATCTTTAGAAATGTATGATTCCACACTTTTATGAGTATATATGTTTATATGTATATTATCATTACATTTTAATCTGATTTTATAAAACCTGTTTTATAAGTCAGTGATCTTTTTCATTATAGCTCTCAGATAACAATTTTCAGTCACAACTTTGATATGACATTTGGTATGTGTGTATTAGACTACTTAATAAGTGAATAGGTTAAAAACTCGGAAGGTAATTTTAAAATCTTGATTCCTGTACCTTGATGAGCTTTATGCTATTTTTCCCATGTCAGAATTAAAAAAAAAGTTTTTCCTATTTTTTTCCTTCTACTTGAAATCTTGCTAATTCCTTCAGTAACAATCTATTGTTGATGAACCCTAAGATGCCATAAGTTCCCTTACAACTTACATTTCTCTTATTTCCTCTATTAATTCATAAACACCCCAAGGAAAAGTACTGGCTCTCATTCCTGACAGTGTTTCATAAAGCATGGTTGGGGGATTGTCTACTTCAGAGTTGCATGGGCATGATTGTTAGCTCCTAACCTGGGCCAAATGATTCAGAATCTCTAGGTTTGGGATCCAATCATTTGTATATGTAATAAACTCCTTATAATTAACAAAATCCCCAGGTGATTCTTCTGCACATAAGAGCAGAAAAACCACTGCTCTAGAGAGCCATGAAACTCATGCCTGATGTATCTCAGTATCATCTGGAGAAAGTTATTAAGTTACGGATTTCATAACCTGCCCCAGACCAAAGTATCTGGGCCTGCAGGTGCTTAGTCAGAGGTTTGAAGGCTTCCTAGGTGATTCTGGTCATAGGCTCTTAGTATTCGTTGTTCATGATTACCTCTGCTATATATAGTTTAGGGGCTTTACTACTAAACTATATCCCCAACACTTTTGTTTTTTAATTTTGAGACAGGGTCTCACTTGGTTGCAAGGCTGGTCTCAAACTTGCAAACCTCCTGCCTTAGCCTCCCAAGTCACTGGGATTATACACATGCACAACCACATCAGGCTACCTGTGGAAACCTGTGAAGCTAGGCCTCATTCTCTGATAGTTTGATTTCATAGATCTGGGGTGGTGCTTAAACATCATGGGTTTTTGTGTTTTTTTTTTAATAATCATTTGTATGATTCTAGGTAATTAAATTCTAATTCTAGGTAATTAAAACATATAGCCAGTTTTGAGAGGCACTGGTCCATATGTTGTTATTTAGGGCACCTTTTTGTGCTCATGCTCGAGTTTCTTACCCCATACGACCATGTCAGAAAAAAATAGTTACAGTGAATGGTGTCATCAATAATCATATCTTGCCAGGGTCGGTGGCACACACTTGTCATCCCAGTGTCTCTGGAGGCTGAAGCCAGAGGATTATGAGTTCAAAGCCAGCCTCAGCAACTTAGCGAGGACTTGTCTCTAAATAAAAATATATAAAAGAACTGGGGATGTGGCTCAGTGGTTAAGCGCCCGTGGGTTCAATCCCCAGTACCCACCCCCCAAAAAAGTGTACCACAATATTTTATAGCTGATGTCTCTAAATGTTCACACAAATTACTACTTGTAGACTGGAATTTCCTTCTAGGCAATTGTCTGTTCTTGGCAATCATCCTAAAAACATTTGCAGGAGTAGGGGAGGTGACCTACTCAATTTGGGGTACAGAATAACCTACTGCATTGACTCTGGTGGTCCTGTGTGAACAGAGTAACATGAGATATGCCTCAGAATGTGATATCAGTGCTCATTAAAAACTCTTCTGAGAATGAAGTCACCACTATAAACCAATACATTTGTGAATTAGTCCCAAGTCATTCACTGAGCACAAGGCAAGTTATGCAGTAACAATAAATAGACTTCAGGCATTTTTCTCTAGGAATTATAGTGGAAAACAGACACTATTCTCATAGACTAATTACATAGGGCTAATTTCAGATGAGTACTTCCCAAAAGCTGGCTGACCATCAGTAACACCTGGAGAGTTCTTAAAGTAGATTCCCAGGTCCCACCCAAACTGAATGGGAATCTAGACATGAAGCTGAGTTGGAGCTCTAGAAAATTAACCCCAGTTTTATCAGTAATATGGTGGTCTATCCTGGCTTCTTGACTTTCCTGCTGCCGCTGATTTTCTTATAATGTTTGCCTATCAGAATTAAGAAGCAAGGAATCAAGTTTGTTGCCTTTACTGAGCAGGGAGGCAGGGAACCATTGGCTAAAATGTGGTGCTTGGAGCTGCTGTTGGTGCAGGGGAAGAAGATATAAGATGAGGGACTGGGGCTGTGGCTTAGTGAAAGCACACTTGCCCAGAATGTGTGAGGCACTGGGTTCGATTTTCAGTACCACATTAAAGTAAAGGTCTATCAACAAATAAAAAAAAAAACATTAAAAAAGATAAGATGATAAATGTAGTCTTGGGACTGGTGTAATGGGGGAATACATTAATTCCACAAATATGTATTGAGTACCCTCCTGAAGATACTTCACTTTAGTGAAGGCACTAAAGATAGAGAAGACGAGATCCATTATGTCTCCTCAAGGGGATCACAGTCTAGGGTATGGACTTGGAGTTGAACAGGGATGTGTTACAAATGCATGCTACAGGGATGCTTAGGATAAAGTGGGAGTGAGGAACTGGGGATTAGAGAAGGCTTTCCTGTGTTCAAGCTTCCACTGTGACTTGAGGTGTTTGATTAAGCAGATAGATAACGGAGGGAATGAAATTCTAAGAGGTGGGCAGCAGGTACAGAAAATGCAGTCCTGTGACTTAGAGTGCTGTGGTGACAGAGGATGGCAAAGCATCTGTATTGATTTTATCAGAGGACATACGTGGGGAGAATGGGAAATGAAGCTGAAGGAGGAGTTGGGGACCAAACCATGAAAGGCTTTGTGTACTGCTAAGGAATGTAAGTTTTGTTTTGAAGACAACGGGGAGGCATTGAGCAGTTTTGTGCAGGAAAGCATGATCAGAGTTTTGTATAATTCCTCACGTTAACTGGGGGTGGGGAGGCTGGAGATAGGAAGATCAGCCAGAAAGTTGCTGCTATATATAGTTTAGGGGCTTCAAATTGGCCAGTGGCAGAAGAGTCAGCTTAGGGCTGCCAGTTTAGATAAAACCCAGCCATGTCATCATACCCCTTCATTTATTCAGTGAACATTGAGGACACAGTACTGGCCTCTTTGAGTGATTGACTAGCAGTTAGCTGGGTCTTCACAACTAGTATAGTAGCTTCCTGAAATTCTGTGTAAGTGCTTCTTGAAATGTCAAGGTATTAAACTAGAGATATGGTATTAAACTTGCACATCTCCAAATTGACAGTTCTGAAGCTCCAACTTTCTATATTAGCTGTCACCAAGGGTTTCATGTTATTAAACTTCTTTATCATCCACACTTGTCTCTTATCTAGACCAAATTCCACTTTAATTGAGTTCTGGAACTAGACACCATTTCAAACATGCTCTCCTTCATAATTGACTGCAATGCTTTACATAGTTTCAGTTAATTTATATTGACAATATGAGAAGACTTTCAATTAGGACATCTTACAAAGGGAATGCATGACAGATATTACATAAACAGGCTGAAATACGGAGATTCCTTGGAAAACTGGGTATGGAACCACCATTTGACCCAGTTATCCCTCTCCTCGGACTATACACAAAGGACTTAAAAACAGCATACTACAGGGACACAGCCACATCAATGTTTATAGCAGCACAATTCACAATTGCTAAACTGTGGAGCCAACCTAGATGTCCTTCAGTGGATGAATAGATAAAAAATGTGGCATATATACACAATGGAATTTTACTCAGCATTAAAAAAGAACAAAATCATGGCATTTGCAGGTAAATGGATGGCGTTGGAGAAGATAATGCTAAGTGAAGTCAGCCAATCCCCAAAAAATAAATGCCGAATGTTTTCTCTGATATAAGGAGGTTGACTCATAGTGGGATTGGGAGGGAGAGTATGGGAGGAATAGGTGAATTCTAGATAGGGAAGAGGGGGTGGGAGTGAAAGGGAGGGGGCAGGGGATTAGTAAGGATGGTGGAATGTGATGGACATTATTATACAAAGTACATGTATGAAGACTTTAATTGGGTGTCAACATACGGTATATACAAACAGATACAAAAATTGTGGTATATATATGTATTAAGAAATGCAAAAAAAAAGAATAGTGTTATCTTGATTAGGTAGAGGGAAGTGAAAGAAGGGGAAGGAAGGGTATGTGGGGATAAGAAAGATAGTAGAATGAAACAGACATTATTACTTTATGTATGTATGACTGTATGACTGATATGATTCTATAATATGTATACTCAGAAAAATGAGAACTTATATCCCATCTATGTATGATATATCAAAGTATATAAGTGCATTCTACTGTCATGTATAACTAATTAAAACAAATAAAAAATTTAAAAACAGACTGGTAACACTGAAGGGTGTTGTGTGTGTGTGTGTGTTTTGGGAGGTGTTTATCCTTCAAAAGAGGGAAATTAAGGACTAGGAAATAAGACTAGGATGGAATGACTATTTCACTGGACTCTGGAAGACCTACACCAGTATCTAATGCTCTTAGTTTCTCACATCTTTGAAAGGCCTCCACAAGAACGGTTTTGCCTGAGTTTTCCAAGCCAATGATAATGACAGTTGCATTCCTGGAAATAGAAAAGAGAAATTAGCCAAACCCATAAAACACTGTTAATTGTTCAGCGAAAGATACTAGAATTCTAGTCTTCCTTAGTGTTTGAGGATATGTAGTAGTCCCAATGCATGTAACATAAAAAGCCCAGCTAAAGTGGTAGAAGGTGCTATGTGAGCCCCTCCCCAAAGCCTCCAAGGATGCTCTTCTTTCTTAATTAACTTACCTTGTAGAACAGCCTTCCTCCCTCAGCCCTGTTCCCCATCATGTAGCTACTACTCAGTCATTTCCCAAATATATTACAATGATTTGTCCCTTGAGGGATTGTGGGCAAATACATGGGAGGAGGTGGTAGAATGGGTTTAGAAAAATAATTGTAACATTACCTTCGTTTCTCTTCAGTTGGTTTTAGCCGGGACCAGCAAGAGGTCAGTAGCCGGAACATGATTCAACTTGGTTCTTGAATATTAAGAGAAGAAAGTATATGAGAACTCAGGCCCATTATTAACACTTGAACCTAAATCAACTTACAACTATACAGGTGCTGGTAAATAGAAATCCTGGGACTGTTATAATTTCATTACTTTATTCTGTCCAACTTTGTCTATAAATGTCATAGAGAAACAGGTTATCCTTAACTCCAGTGACAGCTCTTGTGCTGATATATATTTTCCAACAACATGAAGTGGCTTTTTTTGGGTGGGGGACAGCACCTGGGATTAAACTCGGGCATTTGACCACTGAGCCACCTTCCCAGCCCTATTTTGTATTTTATTTAGAGACAGGGTCTCACTGAGTTGCTTAGGGCCTCCCTTTATTTATTCATTTATTTATTTAGTTAGTTAATTGTAGTTGGAGACAATTCCTTTGTTTATTTATTTTTATGTGTGCTGAGGATCAAACCCAGCAGTTAGTTGTAGTTGGACACAATTCCTTTGTTTATTTATTTTTATGTGTGCTGAGGATCAAACCCAGCACCTCACCCATGCCAGGCATGCACTGTACCACTGAGCCACAACCCTGGCAGTGCCTCACTTTTGCTGAGGCTGGCTTTGAACTAGCGATCCTCCTCCCTCAGCCTCCTGAGCTTCTGGGATTACAGGCATGTGCCACCACGCCCAGCTAGTGGCTTGTTATTAAATCAACCCACATAGACACAGGTGGTGTGGTCTATCCCTTCAACTAGTTTGTCCCTATTTGTTAGTAATATTTATTCTACCTTGGGAAGGGAGTAGGACTATATCTTGGAGAGAAATCAGGTTAGATTTAAAGAAGGACCTGTTGGGAAATCTGTTCTCAGTAACAACTCTCCATTTTTATTTTATTTTATTTTTTTATTTTGAGATAGAGTCTCACTAAGTTGCTGAGGCTGGCCTTGTATTTGTGACCCTCCTGTCTCAGCCTCCTGAGTCATATTTTTATTTAATTTTGAGACAGGGTCTCAATAAGTTGCCCAGGCTGGCTTCGAATTTGGAATCCTTCTGCTTCCGTACTCCCTCACCTCCCAATAACTGGGTTTACAGGTATGTACCACTGCATCTGGCTCCTTGTAGTTTTGGTTTACATTTCCCTAGTAGTTAATTATATTGGAGTTCAGAATTGGAGGAAGGCCTGGTTGGCTTAGGAAAATACTTCAGTTGATACTTAGATGGGCTTTTGCTATCTGATGAGCGTTTATGTGCCAGCTTATTAATGGATAACTTAGCAGTGTTTTGCAGAGTCATCCAGTCATTCACTCTTTTGGAGAATTGCCATTCCTAAATAGTCACATTTCATAGCATTTCTTAGAGCACAGCTCTCTCTGTAGGAAATCATTCAGCTTCCATAAACACTCCTGGAGTATGGCTCTGGCTTATGCCATACAAAAGGGAAACCTTATATACGGCTAGTGATCAAAACCGGCCTTATTCCAGTTTTGCTGATGAAGCTGATAAGACCTGAAGCTTGAAACACCAGAGTCTAATTGTCTGGGTTCCATGATAGCTATCTCCCCTTGAGACAAGCAAGGCCCAGTAACAGCTTCATGTCTATTCTGATCATTGGCAGAGCATCCGAGCTTGAACCCTGGCTCTGTGTATTTGTCAGTGCCACTAAGAAGAATCAAATAGGCATCACAGAAGTTCTTCCTTTAGAACAGAGAGTCAGTAGTATAACCAAGTGGGAAAACAATTGAACTAGTGATAACTGATCCTATCTTTTATTTCTAGTGCCTCTCCTGTGTATCACCTACATTGAAACTACTGTTTTCAGATTTCTCATCTGTAAAAGGAGATTGACATTATAGTTTACTTACCTTGAGGTGGTTAATTACTTCTGTAATGAGTAGTTGCTCCTTTTTGGATGAGAAACATAAGGTATGAGGAGTAATGAAAAGGTTCATTGAGCTTTCTAACCTTTTTGACAGAGTAACAGCCCACTTGTCCACTTCTAAAGGGTAGGCAATGTCCTAATAATGGCTGTCGAGGTTCTGGTATATCTATGGCAACCACTACCTGGTTCTTAGCAACCATGCTCATATCTTCTTAACTTGTGTGACTATAGATAATTAATAATAACTTTATTCATTTTACAAATACTTATGTGGAAGTTGCTGTGTGACATCATTCATTTCAGTACTTTATGCGTATTATGTCATTTAATCCTTGTGACCACAAAAAAAGTTGGGACTGACATTCTTTTTTTTTGGCGGGGGGGGGGGGGGGCAGGACTGGGGATTTAGACCAGGGCCTCACACATGCTAGACAGGCATGCTACTAATAAGTCACATCCCCAGCCTTTTTTTAAAACGTTTTTTATTTTGAGACAGGGTCACTCTAAATTGCCCGGGCTGGCCTTGAATGATCCTCTTGCTTTAGACTCCCAAGTAGCAGGGGTTATAGGTGTGCTGGAGTTACAGGTGTGTACCACTACACCTGGTCTGTCATTCTTACATTTAAGAGAAAAGGTTAAGTAGTTTGCCAACAGCTAGAAAATTGTGAAGCCAAAATCAAAACCTAGGCAGTCTGGCTTCAAAGTCTGTGTACTAGGTAAAAGGTCTGACAGGCTGTGTGAGTGAGAAGCCCTGAGGTACCAGAGAAACTGCCTATGATTTGGTCCTCTCTATCTCTTCTGTCTAAACTATATCATTACGTATTCTTTTTTAGTGAACTTAAAAAACTTTATTTTTTAGAATGCTTACAGAAAAAATTAAAAATATAGTACAAAGGATTCTCATATGCTATTTAGACTTTTGAAGGAAAAGTTAACATTGAGGAAGATGAATGAGGAGTCGTGACTGAGACCAGTCCAAAACTGATTTGACCTCACATAAGGTAAAATGTTAGTAATAACTAGGATCATTTACTTCTTACCAACTGACTAGTATTATATTGGATAGCATGAGTATCAGTGAATAGCAGGCTTAGGATAAAATTGGACCTAACCAGATGGATATTTATTGTAGTATTTAATATCATTGATTATCTTTTTTTTAGTATTTTTTAGTTGTAGTTGGTACAATATCTTTATTTATTTTTATGTGGTGCTGAGGATCGAACCCAGTGCCTCACAGGTGCAAGGCAAATGCTCTTCCACTGAGCTATAGCCCCAGCCCCTCATTAATTATCTTTATTATTAGTGGAGATAAAATTAGTAAGAATAACCATAATTGTTTACTGTTAAATGTCATCAGGAATAAATTCTACCTTTGAAGCAGTGAAATATTAGAGGAGGATAAATATGTGTCAGCAGTTCTCTAAATAGGTCCAGTTTTGTCCTAGGGCATTGGTTGTGGGATCTTCTACTGATTTGACCCAGGTATGACACTTCGCTTTCAAACCAGCCTGAGTTGCCCATTAGAGTTCTTTCATGACCCTTTGAAAATAAAGCTATTTTTCTTTTGAACTTTTTTTTCAGATTCCTTTATTACTACCTCATAATTACCACCAACCTAGTGGCACTGCCTCTCACAGTACCTATATGTCTCTGATGTACTGGCCATTTAGTTTTTTGTTGACCAATTCTGCTAGGAATTTTTGACAGTTAATTTCTTTCTTTCTTTTTTTTATATATTGGGGATTAAACTCAGGGATGCTAAACCACTGGGCTACAACCCCAGCCCTTTTTTTAAAAAATATTTTTTAGTTATACATGGACACGATATCTTTATTTTGTTTATTTATTTTTATGTGGTGCTAAGTATTGAATCCAGTGCCTCACATGTGCAAGGTAAGCACTCTACCATTGAGCCACAACCCCAGCTCTTTTTAAAAATTGTATTTAGAGGGGTTTGGGTTATAGCTCAGTGGCAAAGTACTTGCCTTACACGTGTGAGGCACTGGGTTTGATCCTTAGCACCACATAAAAACAAACAAAATAAAGATATTGTGTCCATCTATAACTAAAAACAATTTTTAAATTCTTATAGACTGGGTCTCCTTAACGTGCTTAGGGCCTTGTTAAGTTGCTGAGCTGGCCTCAAACTTGTAGTCTTCCTGCCTCAGCCTCCTGAACTGCTGGGATTACAGGTGTGTGCTACCACGACTGACTGACAGTTTATTTTCTATTTCATTATTATGAAACAATTATTTCTTCACAAATACATAATTAACCATTTCAATCTATAAACATACATACATGTTTATGTTTATATGAGGATAGAGAAGTATGATTTCACAAAATCAGGATGTTATATTCATTATTTTGAGTGGTAGAGGTAGGAAAGCAAAGAGGGGGTAAGGAAGATTATTATTTATTTTGTTCCAGTGTTGTGAACAATTGTGCATTTTGATTGTTGTGAAATATAAAAATAGAAATTAGAAACCATCCATGGCTCCTACCTACCTGCAAGCTCCCATCACCTCTTCCTTGTACTTCTGTGGTAGCCTGCACTTCCATTTGTGCCCCTTCCCATATAATGTCCCATCGAATAAGTGGCAGAGTATTTAAATGAGCCAACATAGAACATAGCACTCTAAGTTTAGAAACCTCACCTGTGCCAGGTGTGGTGGCACATGCTGGTAATCCCAGTGCCTCTGTAGACTGAGGCAGGGGGATTGCAAGTTTGAAGCCAGCCTTGGCAACTTAGTGCGACTTTTCTTCAAAATGAAAAACAAAAATGGCTGGGGACGGGGACAGAGACAGGGTTGGGGCTCTGGCTCAGTGGCAGAATGCTTACCTAGCACATGTGAGGCACTGGGTTCGATCCTTAGCACCGCATAAAAATAAACAAAAGGCATCTGTTCATCTACAGCTACAAAATAATTAAAACAAAAATGGCTGGGGATGTAGCTCAGAGCTACATAAAAGTGCTGTTGGGTTCAATCCCCAGTGCTGGGGAAGGGGAAAAAAAAGAAAGAAAACCTTTAAACCTTTCCTAGATTTTTCAATAAATTCCAAAGTTCTCTTTGTACTCTGAAAATTCCTGGCAGATTTGTACCTTCCCACCTTGCCAGCTCCTCCTCTTTG